ACTGCACACCAGCTTGGGCAACAAAGCAAGACTCTGTCTCAAAAAAAAAAATAAATAAATAAAGACTGCTGTATTTCTATAATAGTATGTGTCACATTATCACAGTATATGAATTGTATCTGTCTGCTCTGCTACACTATGAACTTCTTTAAAAGAGGGAGTTTCTTCAAAGCACAGCATGCTGCCTGATCCCTAGTAGGTACTCATTAAATGCTCCCTAAATTAAGGCTAAGTAATTCTACTTCTCTCCCCCAATCAACTCCTCCTTTTCTGTACCATCTGGACAGATCTTATTCAATTCCATTTGGGACTTTTTTTTTTTTTTTTTTCCCTGAGACGGAGTCTCACTCTTGTCGCCCAGGCTGGAGTGCAGTGGTGCAATCTTGGCTCACTACAAGCTCTGCCTCCCAGGTTCACGCCATTCTCCTGCCTCAGCCTCCTGAGTAGCTGGGACTACAGGCGCCCGTCACCATGCCCAGCTAATTTTTTATATTTTGTTTAGTTGAGACAGGGTTTCACTGTGTTAGCCAGGATGCTCTTGATCTCCTGACCTCGTGATCCACCTGCCTCAGCCTCTCGAAGTGCTGGGATTACAGTCATGTGCCACTGCACATGGCCCCATTTGGGAATGTTTTTAATAGGCCTCAGAGAATCAATTCTCTCCCTGACCCCTCTGTGATCTCCCTTGGATGGAGGGCCCCCTTGGGATCTTGCCCACAAGGTACTATTGCAACTCACATGGGCTAACTGCTTTTCCTGTCACCCGTTACTATGCCTCAGATGGCCTAATCACACCCAATATGTGGCCCTACACTGAGGCAACTGTAGCTAAAAACAAAGTTCGCTAAATTTTCAGTTGATGCTGAATGGTCAAAAGTTTTGGGCCACTGTCTATTAATTCCTGACTTGAGAAACACAAGTTTAAAAAAAGGAGCCATTAACACCACAGAACCAGGAGACACTCTGAAAATGTACCCACTGTCCCTGAACAAAAGCTACAACCTTGCCCAGAAATGTACACACACTATGTTCACCTGGGTAGCTCCTTCTTCAGTTCAGTGACTGTTCAGTCAATGACTAAATCTTTCCCAAAAGACTTGTGGGAAGTGGGAGTATAACATGTAGGGTTTTATGGTATCCTTCCTCAAAGAGGGCTGCTGCATTTCCTTATTGTAAGTTCACTGTCTCACACTTTGGTTACCTTCCAATCTGAAATGCTTTAGGATTAGGGAGCAATCTATATGCTTGCTTCTTCTACCCTATGCCTGCTTCTCAGAAGTAAAATTCATATCAATGAGCAATATTTGCTTTCAGTTAAAGTAAGAGAAGATACGAGGTATGTTATGCAGTACGGATTGTCCAAGAAAAAATTTTAAAAAGATGTAAGGTATGACTTGAAGGGCAATGGGAAAGTTCTCTTCTCCAAATATATTTTTGCAAATCCAGGTCTATGTATGAAATTCCTTATTGATAATTCTACTCCTAAACTCCCTCTTAAGACGCAAAAAACTGTTGGAAAAATTAGATAGGATTAACACACACACACACACACACACACACACACACACACGGCCAGGCGCAGTGGCTCACTCCTGTAATCCCAGCACTTTGGGAGGCTGAGGCGCATGGATCACCTGAGGTCAGGAGTTTGAGTCTAGCCTGGCATGGCAAAATCCCGTCTCTACTAATAATACAAAAATTAGCTGGTCGTGGTGGCGCACACCTGTAATCCCAGCTACTCCAGAGGCCGAGGCAGGAAAATCGCTTGAACCTAGGAAGCAGATGTTGCAGTGAGCCGAGATCATGCCTTTGCACTGCAGCCTGGGTGACAAGAGTGAAAATCTAAAAACACACACACACACACCCTTACACACTGTCTCTAGGATAGGTAAGAAAAGTTCCTTGGGGGAAACAACTGAGGTTTCCGATGGGCACTATACAAAGGCTGGGTACAACAGAGGGCTTTTAAAGCCAGTAAGGACAAATTCAATTAACAAGGTGGTAGTTGGCCGGGCGTGGTGGCTCACGCCTGTAATCCCAGCACTTTGAGAGCACGAGGCGGGCAGATCACGAAGTCAGGAGATCGAGACCATCCTGGCTAACACGGTGAAACCCTTGTCTCTAATAAAAATACAAAAAATCAGCCGGGCGTGGTGGCAGGCGCTTGTAGTCCCAGCTACTTGGGAGGCTGAGGCAGGAGAATGGTGTGAACCTGGGAGGCGGAGCTTGCAGTGAGCCGAGATCGTACCACTATACTCCAGCCTGGGTGACAGAGTGAGACTCGCCCCCCCCCCAAAAAAAAGATGGTAATATGAAATGCCCCAGCTGTACTCTGACTCTTGAGATTTAGAGGAAAACCGATTTCAAATCCAGATAAGCTTGGAGCTTCTTGGATCCCCACAGAAAGACACACACTGTACTCCAGCCTGAGCGACAGAGCAAGACTCTGTCTCTAAAAATAGAAGAAAAGAAAAGAAAGACAAATACAGGGGGCTCTTAGGAGAACCATCATCATCATGGATAAGAAAGAGATAGTCAAGTAATGTGAACATGCAGAGACCATGAACATCCAGAGACCATGAATTTGAGATAAGGGTCTGAAATTCCTTTCTTTAGCAGAGATGACAACAATTGTCCCAAACAAAATGATCCTTTCTCCCCATAAAGTTTTGTTCCATCTCTTTGGGCATTTCCTAGGACACCCAGCACATAACTTGGGGTGTGTGTGTGTGTGTGTGTGTACTGAAGGTGAATAACACACAGTACAGCCCTCTGCTTGTTGGACTTGGTAGAAGACAAAATGAACTGTGAAAGGAACGCAATAAATAACAGAGTATCATCCCAGAAGGGAAAACTGTAGAAAGAATAAGACTAGAGTTTGGTGAGAACATGAAAACAGAACTGCCTTTTGTGGCACATCCCCCAAAGCAAAGCAAGATAAGTCTGATTTGCTGTCTCTGATCCTTGACCTTCCTAAATGAAATATGAGTAAGGTATGTGTGGGAGGATTTATACTTCTTAAACTGCTGTACAGCTTCCATATTTTAAAATATGAACATATTATTTTTGTAATTAAGAAATGTAGTGATGGCCGGGTGCAGTGGCTCATGCCTGTAATCCCAGCACTCTGGGAGACCAAGGCGGGCAGATCATGAGGTCAAGAGATTGAGATCATCCTGGCCAACATGGTAAAACCCCGTCTCTACTAAAAATACAAAAATGAGCTGGGCGTGGTGGTGCGCGCCTGTAGTCCCAGCTACTTGGGAGGCTGAGGCAGGAGAATCTCTTGAACCTGGGAGGTGGAGGTTGCAGTGAGCCGAGATTGCACCACTGCACTCAAGCCTGGCGAGAGAGTAAGACTCCGTCTCAAAAAAAAAAGAAATGTAGTGATAAAACATATTGGTAGAGAAGGGGAAAAGGAGGAAGCACAGTAAGGGAAAATCCAATAGGCTCCAATCTATGAGGCACTAAGAAGGCTAGCAGACCATTAAAAGTATGCAGGGAGGAGGGTACTCCACTCTTCTTTTTTTTGTTGTTTTTGGAGACAGGGTCTCGTTCTGTCGCCTAGGCTGGAGTGCAGTGGCAAGATCGTGGCTCACTGTACCCTCGAACTCCTGGACTCAAGTGATCCTCCTGTCTCAGCCTCCCAAAGTGCTGGGATTACAGACGTGGGCTACTGCACCTCTGTATCTTTTTCTCTACTCACCATCTTCCCCAGATACTTCATAGTTTACCCAACTTTTTAACAGCACAGAAATCTGGGCTTTTGAAGTAGACAAAGAACAAGGGGTGATGCCAAGCTTTTGAAATGGGATTTCTCACTCTTCCCCAAATCTCTTCCTCAGTGATATCACCTCATAGTTTCGGACCTGTTAACTCCATTACCTGCCTGGGAAATACCCAAGTCAAGTCTAAGTCCCACAAAAGTTTCACCAACTATAATCAGAAGATTTCCTGATGGCTGAGGATCTCTAAGCCCTTTTCCCATGTAGATAATGAAATAGATTCTCAGTTCTAGGAGACATGGTATTCACTATAGACCACATTATTAAGTGGGAAAGAAGTGGACAAAACATGCCCCCAATCCAACTCTTGGCTCTTTCATAGGACAGGAAACAGTAAGTTAAGAAACAGACCGCAATATAGACCAGCTATGAAGCCAAGAGAAAGTGTAGGGGCTGAGTTTGGAGCAGCCAACAGTCATGGAAAAAAAAAAATTACTTTGATCTTCATCCCTACCCTGGGAGTTTTAAAAAGCTTCAAATTACCACATCTAAATACTAAAGGGAACAAAAGAGTGTGTACTCCCAAGACCCAGAGCCTCCAGTCCACCCTTCAGCATTCCCAGAAGCTCCCATAACTGATTCAGGCCCTGCTTCCATTACTTCAACTACCTTAGTCTTCTAGATTAATACAGCCTTCTTCATTTTCCCCGGTTCTCCCTCACTGAACCCAAATCTCTCTCAGCTCAACACCATAGCACCCTCAGTTCTTTTTACAATAGGCACTTTCCCTGAAAAGAACACTTCTTTCCAACTAAGAACCCTTCTCAGGCCCTTCCAATGAACCTCTCTGGAGGGACCCAGCTCCAGTCACCCCCGGGGCTCGGGCGACAGGTCTGACCCATCCTCACCTCCCAGCAAATGGGCTTACCTCACCCGCTGCCCTGTCCCTTTCCCCAGCTCCTCCCTCTTCAGCGCTGCTTAATGAGGCCTGCCCCTCCCCTCACTCAAGCACCGAGCCTCCAGCGTCGGGCCCTCGGCCTGGCCGCCGCCACAGCCCAGCCGCCTTCCCGACTCACCAACTTCGGGGTCCCAGCCCGCCCAGTCCCCTCCTCAGCGCCCCCATTAGGCCTGCCGGAGCCCGGCCCCCTGCTCCCCTCTCCGGTGGGCCACTCTAACCCCTCGCTTAGGACCAGACCCGCCTCCGCTCTCAGGCCAGGTTGCTCTCATCTCCTGGGCGCTTCCGCCCCTGCCCTTTGGGGTCCATCAGCTCGGTACCTGGGGCTCCGTCTCCCCCGTCGGCCCCAAGCCTGTGTCGAACAGACAAACAGCTGCAGCTCAACCAAACCCTCCTGCCCCTCCTTCTCCTCCTCGCCCTGGGGCGGGGGCTCCAGCCAATAGCTCGATTACCCGCCTACCATCGGGGGGTGGGCTATATGTGCACTCATCCACCAATCCTCTGGAGAAAGGCGGGTCTCTTTGGGCGCTGTCACCAACAAGTACGAGCAAGGGACTCGACAGGCGGGGCCACAAACCAATAGCAAGGGAGAAACCTCGAAGATGGACGAGGTAAGGAGCCATTAAAGAGCAAGCTCCTGAAGAAAGGGGGCGGTACAGTGCCGACAGGCGTATGTATCCACCAATAAAATCTCGACACCCCATGACCCCGCCTTTTGACTCATAAACATCTAATCAGGTGAGTGATGGAGGCGGGTCAAAGTGAAACTTTAACCAGTACTACGAAAATACGGGACTTGACTGGCAGGCAAGGAGGGGTTGACGGGAGCCTTAGGAAGGCCGCTATTGACCTTCGCCCCTCCCCCTGGACTTGGCCGGGGCTGGCTCTAGTGCCCCGCCTTCTATGACAAATTCGCGGGCGTAAAGGGAAATACCTCTTCTAGGGATCCGGAGCCTGGGAATTTAAGTAACCCTGACATCAGCGCTTCCTCCCTTTAGTGAGGCTTCAGGGGACAGGAGTATTTGGGGTGGCCGGCGGGCGGTCTGAGATGTTTTTTGTTGGAGTGAGACAATGGCAACGACAAGAAGTGGTAGCTTGGAGACGCTTTTTCAGAATCGTATGTAAATGTAAATAAAATAATCTTTGGAAAACTTTGCTGTTTGTAATATGAAACAGAAAGGAAAAAGGGCGGGCTTACTGGGAAATGCAGTGTCGAGAGGCAAATTCCCCGGGAGCCCTTTTCCTGCCGCTATGTATGTGCATGGGGGTGTGTGTGTGTGCATATATGGTGTGTATGTGGTGTGTTGTGTGTGTGTGGTATGTTGGCTGGGGGAAAGGAAGTTTGCTGGTGTGTGGAGAAAGTAGGAAGTATATAGACTTCAGTTTCCCCAGCCATAAATAGGAACGATAATAACCACTTTGTTCACTGTCAGCACTAGCCAAAATGGGGTGGGGTGGGTAGCCATGCACAGAGAGATTAGGAAAAGGGGTCCGAAATCAATGATCACATATACATATTCATATTCTGTTTCTCACCATTCTTTCAGTAAATAGGAAAGAGATGAACTATAAAACTAGGCACATTTTTTTAATGAACTACAAACTAAATTACAAATAACGTTAATAGCAAGAGCACTCAAGGACAAGGGTGACAGAAACAAATCATAAACAAAAAAAAATGCTTTTTTTTTTTTAAGCACTGTCATTACAAAACCCGAAGGTGCACATGGCAACAAATCCACCCACTCTAACCAAAAAAAAAAAAAAAAAAAAAAAAAAAAAAAAGCCAACCTTACTATGGGATATAAGCTGAAATATAAATATAATTGTTCATCCTTCTTTTAAAGAAATATTTTTGCCCATGCCCTCACTCAATCACAGCCCTGAAAAAGTGTCAGTACTCTCAAAATGATGCCTAAACCCTAATTTCCAACTCCTATGGGGTAGGAGGTGGATTTCAGAGGAAAATGGGATCAGGGATCCCTGGCAACTGAAGAACTAAGAATACTAAAAGGAAGAGAAAAATTCAAACATCTCTCACCTGCCTCATAAGGCCATGGTGAAGCAATAGATTGGAATGAAGCACAATCCCTGTCCCAGGGCCTCCCAAATTCCTCATGCCTGTAGAAGGGACAAACAAGGGGACTGGGGCCAATCATTTTTCTGCAGCCCCACCCGGGCTGAGTCTTGAGTCTCCCAGCCTATTAGGTGAGGCAGAACACTAACTAGGGTATAAACTGATTGGATCTATTTTTTCAACCGAATTCTTTAAAATAGACTCCTCCCAGTGGTTTTGTTTGACTTGGTTCTCAAAAGTTCCAACTTAGCCCCCTGCTATCATTTGGCCTTTACAAACATTGCGGCAGCAGGAGGCTTGGGATCCTGGTCATCTCAAACACTGGAAATAATAATTATGGGGCATTCAGAGATTGGTACGGCAAATCTAACATGTAGGAAGGCTTTTTTTTTTTTTTCTTTTTTTTTTTTTTTTATAGCAACCCTCTTCAGCAGTAACTAAGAGAAGGGGGAAAGGGTGGTGGAGGCTAACTTAAGTGCATCTAATACTGAAACTTCCTTTCATTTTCACTGGTTCCTCCCTTTCACCCCTGTATTCCCAGAGTTGGCTGGCCAAGACTAGAAGGTGAGTGTTTAAGGCAAGATCAGAGGGCCCACCTGAGTCCAAATAGCCCAAGGCCAAGCCAGGTCAAGCCCACACTGGAGCAGAGGGTGAGATTAGGGCTGGGGGCTTCGAGAAGGCTATCAGAGTCGAAGATGGGGTACTGGCTTGGTCACATCCTGGAAGAAAGGGTGAGCCAGGGCTGCCTTGGCCGAAATCCGCTTGTTAGGATCGTAGTGCAGCATTTGCTAGAGGGAGAGATGTATGTTGACTTCAATCATGTGATAGTGGACTAAATGGGCAGCAGATGTTCCCAGAAATTAGGAAACCAGAACTCCTTCTACCCAAGGCGGAATTTTTACTTCCATCCTCCCATAGCTGAATCAGTGTGCCAACAGGGAGAGCAGGAACCAGGGAAACAAAATACTGAGGCCCAGATTTCAGGGTCTCATCCTTCCTTCATCCTGGAAAAGCCCTTCCCTGGGAGAAATGAATGAGGGAAAACAGGTGCCCACTCTCACCGATAACAAGCTCCGTCCATCTTCATCCAGGGGAGGTACAACTTTACTAAAATCTTGCCGGGCCCACTTGGGGAAACTTGGCTTGTAATCAGGCATAGAAGTAACTCCTGGCCACACCACCTCATCTGGGGTCCCCAGAGTCCGAAAGATCCGGAAGAGCTGGTCAATCTCAGAATCTCCAGGGAATAGGGCCCGGCGAGTCACCTGAAAATGGGGAAAGAGAAAATACCAAGACCTACGTTGACGTCAGTCAAAACTCTCCTTTATACAAAGGAGTTCCCACAGACAGTAGAAGGTCAGCAGGGCCCCATGACTCCCTCCCCAGGGCCTTTCATGGGGTCAGTCACACAGAACCTGAGACAATGCAGTCCCTTCATCTGTCTCCTCGCCCCCTCCTTCCTTCCCCCAACCATGGCTTTGCAGATCCCCAAGGCTGGGTGGGTCTGGGAGAGGCTGAATGTCTGCGATGCCACTGACATGTAGCAAAGGGATCCCAAGCCACTCACGGGGTATGGGGTAGACACTGCAGTCATCCCCCAACCTTGTGATGCAGCCACTTCTAGATAGGAGCACAGCGGGCAGAGGCTCTGTCTTCCATTTCTTCTGTGTTCCCCACAGTACCTAGCATGGTGCTGGCTACCCACTAGGTGCTTAACAAATATTTTTGGATGAATTGAGAGAGGAATACGGACAACTGTAAGGTAATGTACTGGGGGATAAATGCACATTACATATGTACAGGCTAATGGTCTTTAAGCTGTTGGTTACAACCCAGGTAAAAGACAATAAAACATATTGCTGATTTGAAGCCTCAGCCTACTGCACTGCACTGTTGTATTAAAGGAGATAGGAGCTTCTACATAAAGCCAGGCCTCAAGGATCCTTCAATCTGAAAAGCCAGAGGTTGAAGGGGGACATGATCCAAATCTTTTTTTTTTTTTTTTGAGATGGAATCTTGTTCTGTCGCCCAGGCTGGAGTGAAGTGGTGCGATCTCGGCTCACTGCAACCTCCATCTCCTGGGTTCAAGCGATTCTCCTGCCTTGGCCTCCCAAGTAGCTGGGATTACAGGTGTGTGCCACCACACCTGGCTAATTTTTGTATTTTTAGTACAGATGGGGTTTCACCATTTTGGCCAGGCTGGTCTCGAACTCCTGACCTCAGGTGATCCACCTATACCTCAGCCTCCCACAGTGCTGGGACTACAGGTGTGAGCCACTGCACTCTGCCTAAATCTGCAATTTAAATGAAGGGTGTGGATAAAGTGACCACAATTGTCTTTACTACATTGCTGGCACCACACAACAAGGTCTACAAGCCTTGAAATGAAGGCCTGAAATAAAAGAGGCACTAAATGGAATCATTCTCCCAAATATATGCAGACTCAGCTAAAATGGCTGCAGAAATGCTTTATGTCATTTCAGGGATAAGAGAAGTATACTAGGTACTAAGGCTGTTTGAGGATATCCTAACATTGTGGTTGATATTGGGGCAACAGTTGCATCCTTTCCCACCATTCCCCTTGGTACTACTTTAGAGACAGACCCCTGTGATAGAAGGGCCATAGGTCTGGGCCAAGAAACAGTTCTGTTGTTCTTGAATGTGGGGAGGAGGGGGCTGGGTGAACTTGGGCAAGCCTCCATACCATCTCAGCAAAGATGCAGCCCAGGCTCCAGATGTCCACAGCTGTGGAGTAGTATTTGCAGCCTAGGAGGATTTCAGGAGCTCGGTACCACAGGGTCACCACCTGAGGGACAGGAATAGGGAGAGGTGGAGTGGTTTATAGGGTATGGAGATTCCCACATCTCAGTTCCCCAACACTACTCTGCTAACTCATGGCCTCTTAACAAGCAGTTTCCTTCCCTCCCTCTTTCCCCTCTCACTGATTTCCAGTCCATAGTTCTGGAGACCATATTTTCTGAACCCCCAGTTTGAGATCTTCCTGGAAAAACTTGAGACAAATGATCATAATTTGATTTCAAAATTTTTTCTTTTTGTAGATTTGTAGAGATGGGGTCTCGCTATGTTGCCCATGATGGTCTCGAACTCCTGGGCTCAAGTGATCCTCCCACTTCAGCCTCCCAAAGTACTGGTATTACAGGCATGAGCCCAGTTAGCAACACAGTATGAATTCCATGCATGCCCTAAGACTCTTGAAGATGTCAAGAGATTATTTCTACCTAGTAAGAAACTGTTAGCCAGATATTTTTAGTAAATTTGTGAATACCCTAGTTAACACCTCTTGGGAAGCTCAGAGAAGAAAGGCATAAAGGGACTCACCTCATGGGTGTAAGTACGAACAGGGACTCCAAAAGCTCTGGCTAGTCCAAAGTCTGCTAGCTTGATAGCCCCCTCTGTGTTAATAAGCAGATTCTGAGGCTTAAGGTCTCGGTGGAGGACCCGATGAGAATGGCAGAAAGCTAGGCCCTGGAGCAGCTGGAACAGATAGCTCTGACAAAGAAGAAAGAGAGGACTGTGTTTCTCCATCACAGTGAGCAGACTGGGTTTGCTCTGTGACCCCAAAACTCTACTAAAGCCTTTACTATGTTGGATTATAGTTACATATTTACAAGCTATTTCTCCCAATGGACTGTCAGCCCAGAGAGGATAAGGACCAAGTCTTACTCAATTTTGCTTCCTTTTTCTACATGCTGTGCATTGAACAAATGTTTGTTAATAAAGTAGCTCTGGGAGTGAAGAATCCAGCCCTAAAATAGACAATAGAGACTTACTAGCTGGTTCTTCCACCAAACAGAAGGGCTTTTTGGAGGAATTTACCAAGTGCTCTCAAATCCCATTTATCTGAGTTTCATCTGACCTCCCACCTGAGTTGCTAGGTTGACTCACTAGAGTTTCAACTTTGATTGTTCAGTCCAACCCTAGGGTTAATGAATATAATGAGCAGGGAAGGAGACACAAAAAGAAGGGGAGTGTGTGTGTGTAGGAGATGAGGGCTCAGAAGGAGGCCAAGATCATAAAATATCACCCTGAATTGCCTGCCACCAGTCCCCCAAGACATGCCCATGATGGGAGGAGCTGATGAGAAGCATTACCTTGATGAGAGGAAGAGGAATGCCAGTGAGAGCAGAGGCATCCATGAATTTCTTGAGATCTTGGTGCAGAAATTCAAAAACCAGGTAGAGTTTATTTTCTGTGTGAATGACATCCAGCAGCCTAGAGAAGTAAAGTTTGAGGAAATGGAGCTGCGAGAGAGAGAAAAGCCCACACTGTGCAGACAACTCATCCTCCTTTCCAGCTGGATTGCCTCTCAGACACATACTCACTTGACAATATTAGGATGGTTAAGCTCCTTAAGCAGAGAGATCTCTCGGATGGCAGTACTGGGCACACCCTCAGTCTCACTTGGAGAGGTTGGGAAAGCAGAGACAGGAATATGGTTACAAATATTCCTTTTCCCCCCACCTAGTCATTTCTTTCCCCCAAGGAGACACCACCCAGCACCCCCTAGGAAAGTCAGAGAAAAGAAAGGGTGCTGGAAAGAGCTAATTCTTGGGTAGTCAGGGTGTGGCTTTTGCACATATTAAGGTCATTATCTTGTCTTTTCCCAGGGGTAGGTAAGTAAAGCCGTCTGGTGCAGGTGAAGCAGGGAGGCTGTAACGGGGGGGGAAAAAAAAAAAAAAAAAAAAGCAGGAGTAGTCCCCAGTCTCTCCAGAGGGGCCAGTGAGGTTCAACTGCCATTCTTTGGAAAAAGGAGAGAATTCTAAGGTGAGGGTGGGGCAGTGAGGAGAGCTCTTCATTCAGAAAGGCGCTCCTCGCCGGTTCCCATATAATTCCACTCCATGGAGAGTCTTGGACCTCATCTCAGAGGCCTCCTTTCTCTCCCCGAGTCTCTGTGTTCGCACATTTGGGGGCACGATCCGGCTCAGTTTGGGAAGAAAGTTTTCCATGGATTCCACACCATCCTATACTCTCCCCAGGGAGTATAAGTATGCACTCCACCTTCTACTGGCCCCCAACCCACCTCTCCACTTCTAAAGAAGTCCGTCCCTGTTGTCTTCCGGTCCCTGGACGGCTACCCGCCCGTGGGGGATTGGGGGGGGGACAGTCAAGGAGGTCCCCAGTTAGGAGTCCCGGGTACAGAGGCCACTCACGTGTCCAGGCGGATCTTCTTAAGCGCCACCACTTCTCCCGTCAACTTGTTTCTGGCTTTGTACACAACTCCGTACGTGCCCTCTCCGATCTTTTCCACCTTTTGGAAGTTCTCCATGAAGCGCCAGCGAGTCGGGTCAGCCCGGCCCTGGAGCGGGGGCCTGGGAACCCTGCAGAAGGCGGACCCTGGCTCTCGGGGGCCGAGGAGGGGGAAACAGGGCCCAGTATCGTGCCCCCGGGTCGGGATGGAACGCAGTATACCTCTCGCTCTTGTCAATTTGGCCAACTTGAAACAATGTTGCCGCCTCCCCCCGAGTTCCCGACCGCCACCAGAAGCCCCGCCCCTGCTTCCCGCGTTTCCCTGGCTCCGCCCCCAGGCATTTCTATTGGTCAACGTCAGAGCCGCGGGGCGAGTGCAGCGCTCCTCCCCGCAAATGACCCCGCCCCAGGCAAGTTTGGTTCTTCGGGGGCTAGAAAAATTTCTTTCTCGGTGGGGCGGCTGAACAGTCTTCCCAAGTACCTACTTTGGGTCCAAGTTTCCTACCTGTGTCTCTAGTCTGTAGGGATTTCTTGATTTCTAACTCACTATTTTCACTACTCCTGGGGAAAATATGTATCGACCTAAGGTTAAATTCCACCTGGCCCAGGAGCCTCCTTTGAAAAGCAGGAAACTAGGAATCTCGTTGTAAAGAATTCCTGGGCCTCAGAGGAGTCATTGCCTCTGCCTCATAGCCTACCCCGACGCTGTCTCTGTTTTGGGATGCAGGCTTCTGTTTCTGTTTTTTTGAGAAGTTCCTGGTTTAATTCACTCTCCCATGATGAACTGTTGTGTCTGGTATGTGTTATGCCTGCCTTTCAGTCAGCCCTTGCCCGGGAGTATATGAGAGTGACCCAGTGAAACCAGAAACTGCCATTGAGTAGCAGGATGGGAAAGCAATGTCTAGGGACCAGGATCCCTTTGTCAGTTTTTCCTTCTTCCTCTTCTCTGGCCCCTCCCAGGCCTTCTCTGAGGGAGAAGAGGAAGGGCTATGCAAATAAGCACCCTTTTCTTATATAGGGGCCTATCCCAGTCCCCCCAGTGCCTTTGGTTGCTGGAGGGAAGAACACAATGGATCTGGTGCTAAAAAGATGCCTTCTTCATTTGGCTGTGATAGGTGCTTTGCTGGCTGTGGGGGCTACAAAAGGTATGTGTGGATATGTGGACATGAGCAGGTGTGAACTTGGGGATGAATTCCCCCTGCTCTGGTTTCTCTCCTCCTAATGGGAGATAGCGGCAATATTTCAGGCGTCTCCCACTCATTTGATTTAGTGAGAATGTGGGCACCTGGGCTCCCTCCCTACATGGAGATTTGGGATTGAGCCTGAAAATAATCTCATATGCTTGGAGGGGCAGAAGAATAGAAGGTCTCTGTGGCACTGATTCTGAGGCTTCCTTGGCAGTGAGCTGGAGCAGGGGCTCCAAAGGGGTGAAATGTGCGGGAGACTCTTTAAGAAATGTCTCTTGGGGTAGGAGATTTAAAGTGGGGAGTCAGAGAATGTAGTATTGGGTAAGAAGACTAAGGAGATACAATCCTCTCCCCTTGGGATGGGTACGGGTGAACACAGCCCAGACCTTTTGTTCTGGGGCTGGGAGAGATAGGCAGAGGGGTCTCAGCTGAGCATCACATGAAAGGGCTCTGGGGGATTGGGCCTCGTGACAGGAGCAAGGGGAGGGGGTGAGGTGGTGAGAGGGTCTGGAATGTCCCGTGCTGCTCTGAGGAGAGTTGGAAGTGGAGAATGAATGGGGTATCTTATGACTTCTCTTGCTCTAGTGGTGGGATGCTCAATGAGATGATTCCAGATCCTCCCCCAGCAGAATCAACTAGGGTTACAGCACACATTAGAAAGGGGATGAGGCCGGGCGTGGTGGCTCACGCCTGTAATCCCAGCACTTTGGGAGGCCGAAGTGGGTGGATCACGAGGTCAGGAGTTCGAGACCAGCTTCGCCAATATGGTGAAACCCCGTCTCTACTAAAAGTACAAAAATTAGCTGGGCATGGTGGCGCATGCCTGTAGTTCCAGCTACTCGGGAGGCTGTGGCAGGCGAATCACTGGAACCCAGAAGGTGGAAGTTGCAGTGAGCCAAGATCACACTACTATACTCCAGCCTGGGTGACACAGCGAGTCTTTGTCTCGAAAAAAAAAAAGAAAAGAAAGGGGATGAGGCCTGGCACAGTAACTCATGCCTGTAATCCTAGCACTTTGGGAGGCTGAGGTGGTTGGATCACTTGAGGTCAGACCAGCCTGGCCAATATGGCAAAACCCCATCTCTACTAAAAATACAAAAATTAGGTGGGCATGGTGGTGCGCCCCTATAATCCCAGCTACTTAGGAGGCTGAGGCACGAGAATCACTTGAACCTGGGAGGCAGAGGTTGAAGTGAGCTGAGATCACACCACTGCATTCCAGCCTGGGCAAAAGAGCAAGACTCTGTCTCAAAAAAATAAAAAAGAAAGGAAATGAGGAGGCTCACACCTGTAATCCTAGCACTTCGGGAGGCTGTGGCCATAGGATTGCTTGAGCCCAGGAGTTCAAGACCAGCCTGAGCAACATAGTGAGACCCTGTCTCTACAAAAAGTAAAAAAATTAGCCAGGCCTAGGCCGGGCATGGTGGCTCATGCCTGTAATCCTAGCACTTTGGAAGGCCAAGGCAGGTGGATTACCTGAAGTCGGGAGTTTGAGACCAGCCCGATCAACATAGAGAAACCCAGTCTCCACTAAAAATACAAAATTAGCTGGGCGTGGTGGTGCATGCCTGTAATCCCAGCCACTCAGGAGGCTGAGGCAGGAGAATCGCTTGAACCCAGGATGCGGAGGTTGTAGTAAACCGAGATCGCGCCATTGCACTCCAGCCTTCCAGCCTGGGCAACAAGAGCGAAACTCTGTCTCAAAAAGAAAAAAAAATATATTATCTGGGCCTGGTGGTGAGCACCTGTGGTCCTAGCTACTTGGGAGGCTAATCAGGAAGATGGCTTCAGCCCAGGAGTTTGAGGGTGCAGTGAGTGATGAATGTGCCACTGCACTCAGGGTGAGAGAGCAAAACCCTGTATCAAAAGGAAAGGAAAAGGAAAAGGAAAGGGGAAAGAAAAGGGGAAAGGGAAGGAAGTTTCTGCAGGAAAGGGAAAAATGGGGTGAGGGTAGTTTTTGCTGTGCTGAAATATATACAGATAGGAGGGGAGGGGAGAGAGGTTTCTGCAGGAAAGGGGAAAATGGGGTGAAAGTAGTTTCTGCTGTGCTGAAATATATGCATTATATCCCAGCCCCGCTTTCTCCCTAGATGCTTAGTCTCACAGATTTCTAGGAAGTTCTTGATCTGACTTTCCTCGCTGTGCTGC